TGGACCGTGGAGGCAACACTCTGCAAGAGAGAGAGCCTCTTCTGCAGGCTGGACATCGGCACGCTGCTGGTGAGAGCTGGCTTCCAATTGTGCTGAGGTTTTGGGTTTGGTGTGGTGGAATCAAGATGCCTGGTTGGTACCTGGATTAGGACAAGGAAGTGGTGGAGATGGCTTTCTAGAAAAAGTACAGGCACCCCAGCAGACGACAATGGAAGCAGGAAGGTTGGAAAGAAAGGGGAGTGTCTGAATAGGCAAATGGCATGAAAAAATAAATTTGAGGGTAACAAAAGGCAGAAGTGTTACTTATAAAACATGTGCCAGAAAAGGGGAAAAGCTGCAAAAAAATCTCAAAGAGACACTCAGGTTTGGCAAAGAAAGCTTGGTGGCCAGACAAGAAATGTGGGGAGAAGCTGGTAGATGGGTGTGGATGCAAAGGCTGATTAATGAGATAATAAAGCATCAGGGCAATAAATGATGTCAGTTAGGTGCAGAGGAGACAACAGACAGCACGTAGATAACAAGGAGTTGGCGTGTTCATTAGATCACACAAGCAGATGGGCTGTCAGTCATGTTTGCTAATGGTAGTGGCCAAGTCCAGGTCTCCCCAGGCTCAATGGAAGTGGGAGCTTCTGAGAAATGTGGAAGGAAAATGAAAAAGAGATCACCTCCCTTGGATAATCTGAAAAATGAGGTGCAGTTGCAGCTATTATTGAGGAGTTAGGCAAACCTAATTGCTCATAATTAAAGTTCTGGATGAGGATTACCTGTTGGTGTGGCAATTTGCTGTCAGATGGAGTGGTTGGAGATCTTCGGCAGTGCCTCGCAGGCTGGTACCTGCTGTAGCTGGGTCTGCTGAGGCAGGGTACAAACCAGGGGTGCACCAAAGTGCTCAGTGTCCTGTGAAATCAGGGAGTGCTGAGCTGTGATGGTGATATGAACGGTGGTAAGAAAGCTGTTTAGAAAGCAAAACAGGAGGGAGGTAAAGAAAGTAGACAACTCTTAACAGAAGGGATGGGAAGGACTGAAGAGTTTGGTGTAATTGCTTCAGGCCTGCAAAGTAGGATTTATTGATGGGATAATTAAAATGGAAGTAGAATAGGAATGAGAGAAGCAAGAGGTGAAAGGCTACTCAGTCTGAGAAATTTCAGTTAGTAGGGCTTGAATTCATCCCAGTTTATTTGCTTTGGATAATGACTTAAGGAGGTTTAAAACTATTGGACTGTAATGGAGGACGGGAACATCCCTGGGGACCAGAGGGGGTTAATAGTAAGCCCATTTATATCAACCAGGACTTACAGGATAGCTGGTGGAGTTTAGATTCCTGAAAACTACTGAGACAACTGGTTTGGAAGCAACACGCCTTTACCTGCTCACCGTGTGCTGAGCAGCACTGCCAGGCACTGTGCCGCTGCTGTGTAAGGGCGCTTCGAGCAGGGTTGGATTGCGAGCCGTCCTTTGCTCACCTGGCTGCTCTATGCTGAGGCTGCACACACCACACGCAGCCACGGGCACATAGGGAGGAGCCCACCACCCAAACACACGCACCTGCCTCTGCTTATTCAGCACGCAGACATGGAGAGTTGTGATAGCTACTGACTTCCAGCAGCCCTCTGCTGCACGGTGTGTTCCCGGCCGCTTCTTGCAGCCACAGGCCCTCCTTCTGCATCTGATGAGGCTTCCTGACCGGTGTTTTTTTGCACAAAATGCTATGTGTGCATTGCATGTGGTTAGGCTGGGTATGGGACAGCTGGGGTGATGATGCCAATAATGCCTCAAGGAAACGAAGCTTGCATAAACAAAAGCAGACACTTACTTATATAACTGGACATCAAGTCTCACCATCAAATGCATGCAAAAAAATCTCTGTGCTTTTCTATCTTTCTTTACTTGGTGAGGAAGTTTCAATGCAAATATCTCCCTTGAAGAGAAAAAATACTTGAAACAATAATCTACCAGAATGTGATACTCTCGCTGTATGATTTTAAAACATACCTTCTGTTGGTCAAGGGGGATCAGTAAAACAAATCAAGCTGTGCTTAGCAAATAAAACATGAAAAAAAAATGAAAGGATGGCAAGATGTACCCTGTAAAATCTTGTGGACTGAAAGGAGAGATTGAATTTGCAAAAGTTTTGAGGCCGGATGTCACAGGTCACAGAGTAACACTTGAATACTTTAGGCACAGCACCAAGATCCTTTGGATTTGGGGATTTTAATGTGCTACTGCTCTGAACTGATACACTACCAAGGGAAGTCTCTTCCTATCTTCATTCAGTGCCTGGGACAACAGAAGCTCTGCTTTGTGTGTTTCTGAGTTGACACAGAGAAATAATAGCAGACTTCAGTAAAGGAACAGTACAGATAGCTCTGAATTTAGTAAAAATCTCCATGTTCACATTGCAATATCTATGGGACAAACAATGCAATTATACTATCGCTTTTTTTTTTTTCCCTCAGAAATAAAGAACCACTGCAATCTAAGGAGGCTGGAAAAAGGCCTGTATCATCATTCTTCTGTGGGACGCGTGGCAGAAATCAACGTCTTCAGACAGTTTCTCCAACATAGCTCCTGAAGACTGGGTAAGCAGTTTTCAGTATATAAAAAAGAAGGCTTAAATTATGCTCTTTTTTCTGTGACTAGAAATTATAAAATGAAGGGAGGAAAGCTAGCATCAGTCACACAGTAAGCTACAAAATGTCAATATTTTCTAGAAATGAAAGCACGTTGCTTTTGGAGTTAAGCATGTGTTGTTTAAAATTCTTCAATGTGTAGTTACAGCCTTCTTCACAAAAAAAACTACTCTTTTCCTGCATACACTCACGCTGGGGTTGAAGTATAACAACTTATAACAAGGATGATTTACCTGATGGTATATAGCCTAGCAAAGTGTTAAGATTTGCTTTATGGAATAAGCAGTAGAGTACATGAAATATAGATGGTAACATCAAACAGAGCATACACAGGTACCCTTTTAAGGCAGTGTGGCATTGGACCAAAATAAAATTACATTTATCCTCCGTGAGGGGAGAAAAACTGAGAAAAAGAGATTTTTTTCTTTGCATTTCTCAAAGGCCAAAGCCCACAGAGGTATGGTCTCCCCTTGCTCTCTGGAAAACAAAACAAAACAAAACAAAAAATCAACCACCATTTTGCTTCTGACTGCATTAGAACATACACAGCCTCATGTATGGTTTGTCCAGTTACCAGGTCAGGTACACATCTGCACCGTTGTATCCCATTCAAACTCAGTTATGCAGGATCAGATTAATAGCTGAAAACAAAAACTGCGGGATGCAAACCCTTCTGAGCTGGTATTCGCTGCCAAAGCTCTTACCTCAGTGCACCATAGCCCAAATGTTAGGAGCTAATCATTATAACATAACTTACAACAGCAAGAATTATTACCAATAAAAGATCAAAAAAGCAAATTCCCCAAGTCAGCACTGCATCGTCACCCTGGATGTCAGTGCTGGTGGCAAAGCGGAGAAAAATGTTTTTCCTCTCCATCCAAGGGCACTATGCAGGGTTCTGGATGCCAGCATACCCTTCTCCCCTCCTCTACTTTTGCTGGCAAAGCTGGAAGGGCTCAACATGTGCTGCAAACAGGGGAACACCCCAAGAAGGCTGAAGGCGAAGCAAGTCAGAAGAGTTATGTCCCTGGCCCAGACTGGGTGGCTGCAAGACACTTGCAGAATCTACACCAAACTGCCACACGTGGTGTGAGGGCCTTCCTGTCCTGAGCTCTCCCTGCTCAACCGTTCTGCCTCCCAGCATATCTGGCCTAAATAGATTCAAGCTCCACAATTGTAAAAACATCCACTCTTGTTGTAAGGATACCAATGCTTTAATGACCTTTCACATCCAGCCTGACTTTTTTGGATTCTCTCCCATTCTTATAACCCATGGGGAGGAAAAAAAAAAAAAAAAAAGAGCTTCTGTGCTTCAAATTTTGAACATGTGGTCCTTGGCCACATAAACGTCATATGGACATTTCTGTATTCAAGAAGCTGCTTCTGGGATGGCATTTGATTGCCAAGAAACGCTAAGTTTAAGCTGAAGAAGACTGTTATGTGGAAGACTTGGAAAATTCCTGCAGAAGAAACTGAAAGCTATTTTTTCCCCTTAGCTTACTCCTAGCTGTATCATCTCAAGCAGCCCATTTAACTACCAGAAGCTATGTTAAAAAAAAAAAAAAAAAAGTTTTGAAACCTGCTTGCTACATTATGCAGATAACAGCTAGCATCCACTCATAACGTAGGTGATGACATGCTTTAGTGATGGCAAAAAACGTGCCCTATTGTCATGCTCCTCTTCAGAGATTTTAAGCGCTACCTTGAAGTAAAGCACTGAAAGTGTACTGAGGCTATTTCAGTCAGGAATCCCAAGGAGAGGGCAGGGCATCATTTAGCCAGCTTCATTGCCCTGGGATGCACACAAGGCACTTGCAGCTCTTGGACAGCTGTCCTACATTATATGGGGCATAAGAGCCTGCCTGTGCTTTGGGATCATGACCTTCACCTTCTGTGCATTCAGCTACATGGGTCAACACTTTCAGGCGTGGTTGATCTAGTCACAACTTACCTCCACAGGAAGGACCAGCCTCTCTGCTCACAGGTTCTTGAGGCAGTCCTGGGGCCTTCTCTTTACTAGTCTACACTTTATTCTAGTAGCCTCTGGTACTGCACTAGTCAGTTTTCCCTCTACAGATAAAAATTTCAAATAAGGTATTTCTGGAGAAAAATCTCTTCTCCAAAAAGCAGGAGAGAGAAGGTTAAGTGTTCAAAAATATAATCCAGGAGGTAGCACAAGTATTTTCAACAGTGTTAAGGTATAGGAACTCTGTAAATTACAAAGCCCTTAAATGAGTAACAGTATTTCTGCCAGAAGGCAGAAATTTACCTTTAATAAATAGATATTTACCTTTAATAAATATTTACAATATGAGTAAGGATGTGTTTATTCCGTTATGTACCCAAACAGCTATCAATCAGAGACTAGCATTGCAAACATCTCACAAGGATATTTATTAGTTAGAAGCAATCTGTCTCAAAAGCATGACCCATTTCATATTTCAAACAGTGTTTTATTACAGTGCAACTGCACAAAACTCAATTCCCCATGAACATACGCTTGATATGCAGAACACAGTTTTACACACTACTTATTTACATATGTAAGTTCCTGGATTTGTTTTGGTTTGAGGACAGTAGTTCAAGGAAAGTCTGTTTGCCTTGATTATTTGGAAAGCTTCCTTCTTTTCTTCTTCCAATGTTTATTGCCCACATCTTCAGTGTTGTCAGGAGGCTCTGGTATTACAAAGCCATCAGTCATTTTATAGTAGACTACTGTAGAATCTGACTCAACTATGGCCAAGGTAACTGACAGTGGGGTGTCAGGATTGTCACATGGGAGAGAAGCTTTCTTCATGATTTCTCTTAACCTAGAAGAGAAAAACAGTTAGCAAGGACTGCATAAAAACCTACTGATGGCACAAAGGAACAAGTTCAGTATTGATGGGTTTTGTAGGTTTTAACACTGATGACATTCAAAGCAGGGAACAGTTTTCCGTACTGTCATGGAGGACAGTCAGGTTCTCTAACTTGAGAAATGTTTTTACATATTATTTAATTTTCTGATCTTTAATACCATGCCTATAATAAACGTGCTTGCCCCCAGAAAGCACAAGAAAATTCATACAAAGCTTGGAAGGATGGAGGAAAATTAGAAACTTGTATTTGAGCCTTTCAAGAGGGCTTTAACACAACTTCTTCTTGCAGCTTTTTAAATAGAAGAGATTAGTGAAGACAATACCAGGCTTTTTATTGGATAAAGAAAGTGTAATATCTGTTCTAATAAAAATCCAAAGTCCTATAATCAAGCAGCAATCTCTTAAATAACAGTGAAGCTTATTTTTTCCTAAAAAATGCATTTGGATGCATACATCTCTGCTGCAAATAGCTCAACATGAACTTCTGATTTTTCCCTAGCTGTACTACTGTGCACATACCTCGACCATCCTTTCACCACCATAATCGGAGCATGGTAATCTCTAATGGCCATTGTTTTCATTGGAATAAAATAATCTAATTGAATACCATGTGTGAGGGGAAAAAAAAAAGAGAGAGAGACATCTTCCATTTGTAGAGATAAGTCTTCCAGTCCATGTGCTGCAGTTCTCTGCGAGTCTGTGGAATACTCGGGAACCAAAGCCAGGTTTCTCTACCTCCCTGTCTAGACTAGAAGCCACAAGACATAAGACTAACGATCTTCCTCAGGAAAGTCTGCATAAATAATGTCTTCCTTAAAAATTCACAACAAAGTTATGCAACTTTTCCTGTGCAGTTTATTTTAAGAATAACATGCTAGTTGCTTTTTAGTTCAGAGCTGAGAACAACATTGATTCCTGGCATATTACTGTTCTGATCAGGGCATGAGCACTGAAGGAGCATGATGTCCAGGGGCAGAAGGCTCCTTCTGGAGCTATGGGGAGTGCTTCCCCACAGCAAACATTACCACAGGGAGCATCCTCCTTCACCCGGAGTCCAGGTGCTGCAGGGTTTTCCTGGGATTGCCAGAGAGGGTATGCACTGGGGAGAGATCAGCTCTGCACTGCGAAAAAAAATCACCCCTCACATCATGTGCCCATGAGCTCTCTTCCCCAGAAATGCATTTCTCAAGCTGGGCGCTGCAGTTGAAAATAAGGCTCTTTCTAAATGCATCAGCTTTCAAACTTTAATCATCACCTTCCCTTCCAAACCACTTTGATCCCTTAATAAAAGCCAAATGGGAAGTGGCAGGGAAGCAGCAGCAGCTTGGAAAGCCTATGCTGTTAGGCCCATGGCCCTCTTATGTACCCATCTGTGTTCTAACTGGTCATAATTCAACTTGCTGAAGTCAGTAGTGCCTTTCCTTTTCCTCTCACTGCTGGCCCATGTATAATGCAAGGCAAGACATCCAGTGTAGTCAGTCAGTCCATGTAGCAGAGATACTAAGGCTGTGAAAAGCCATATTCTGGTGCCCCTACTGTCAGATTTTGTAACAAGAGAATAAGGAAAGATACTGCATTGGTCACTGTCAGAAGACAGGCATCTGCAAAAGATTCCTGCTTCAAGCAGTGTGACCACTACCTTCCCTCCTGGCACATTTCTTTGGCTGGTGCCTCGGCCTGCAGCTGTGCTGTAGGCACACTAACTGCGCTGCGGGTAGCCAGGAGAGTGCAGATGCAAGCCTGCCTTCCAAAGCTGTAGGCAAGCTGTGGGTTGAGGTGCTCTGGAAAAGGAAGGAAAAGCACCCCCACATGAGCAATGCCTCAAATACACCAAGGCCTGCCAGTGGTGCACTACCTGGTAAGAAGGGCATGCACCTGGGGTTGACAAGGGCCTGGGAAAGGACTGTGGGTATCCTTCCAGACACGCCACACACATATGGAGCAAGAACCCACCCATCACACCTCGCATCTTCTGCCTTTCTGAATAAGAGTCAGTGGTGGGGCCAGTCTCCTGGCAGAGACAACATTAAGAAAGAGCTAGTCATTGGTTTTGTGTAGCGATAGAGGTTAATCTCTCCCCCAGCCTGGGAATGAGAAACAGAACTATCATTAAAAAGCCAAATAACAAAGGGTACAGCTACCTGGGAGAGATTCTGGGACCCAAAGAAACCAAACCTGTGTTGAGCGTGGCCTGCGCTTACCTGTCAGCCAGGACAGAAGCTTCTTCACAATTTCCTTCGTTAACTGTCACTGTTTCTCTCCCTAGTCTGTTCAGGGGATGGAGGTACAGTGAGGCCTCAGATCTGTTTCCCATCACTTGTGAACTCCTCTTACAATGCCAAGCACAGCCACATGAACCTTTATTCCTCTTGCCATTTAGCACTTATGCTTAGAAGATGCGCCATGATCACAAAAGCAATCAGGTCCTCACAACGGATCAGTGAGACTTCTTCAAGTCCCTGGCCTACTTTTCAGGGGTTAAAGCCTGAGTTTCAGGCTTTAAGTAGAGAGCACAAGGACATTCCATTACTTCAGGGTGATCTGCTAACACTCCTGGCCATGGAGCACAGTGCTCTCCACTGCAAACAGAGGATCAGCCTCTATCAACTTACAGAATTAGAACTGCAAATGCAAGATTCTCCTCTACCGCCTTTTCTAGATACAAGCAGCACCAAAACAAGAGCTCCTATTCATACAGACCACAGTGAGCCATAATGCAACCAGCACATCTGCAGGTTAGTGGAAGGTATCTTTTAAAAGAATAAGCTTTGGAATTCAGGAAGTCTGTATCAGATGCCTGCATTTCCTCTCCTCCCCTGAAGGCATCATTGTTAGCCTCTGCATCCAGTGTTCTCACAAAGCCTCTTTCCAGCATCAGACCTCTCAAAGGAGGAGTCAGGGAAGAACATCTGGGTTTGCCCTGATATCACTGCACTTACCACCTCCCACAAATACAAAGATGAAATATTGCAGAAAAAAATATTTTTAAAATTATTTTTGATGTGTCTAATGCTCTATATAGAGAGGGGAAAAAAAAAAGCAAGAAGTGTTCTTGGCCTTGTGAAATTAAAAGCAATGCATATGTTTGTTCATCAGCTCAGATTAGCTCACCCACAGGCTCAGCCTCGTTAGGAAGATCAGGGACAGACACTCTGTACATGTTGCCACCTTCTTGGGATTTACTGGTTCTGTGTCTATCTGGTAAAAATTAAAAGGCATCTGGAGTCCCAAGAGAGCTCACAGATCAAGCACGTGTGCTGCTGCATACACAGTGGGAAGTCTAGAAGTTAAAATATTCTATAAACACTCCTTTCCCTCCTCTCCCTCTCCCCAGGAAGAAAAGCCACTGAATGTTAAAATGGGCAATACTGAAGCTTTACATTTCCCCCACAAAAAGGTAGATTTGAACAAAGGCCTTATGAAAGGAAAATAACGTATGTAAAGCTAGGCACCCCAAGAAGCACTGGAAAGCTTTATTCTAAGTCCCGTAAACAGAGTGAGGTTGAACATTTTTTTGAAAATATGAATTCTCAGTTGTAGATCACACAGTAAAAAATTCTCAGAATAGCTTGGAAACCCATCCCTAACACTGACAGTGTCTGCATGTCCAGTGGAAGCCAAGATCTGCTCCCACCAAGACAAATCCAAGTAGGATGAAGTCCTCAGTTTCCACTGAGGAAGCAAGCTCATATTCACCTCACATTGCAGAAGATGAAAGGGGTTTAATTTCAATCATACAAAAGAGGCACTATTACACAAAAGTAAGTTTTTAGCATTGCTGAAGTCTTTTGCTTCAGAAAACTTTAAAGGGGCTTTCCAGATACCTACAAGCTGCATTTAGCAATAATTGCTATTTTTCTACAAAAGAGTTAATTGAAAGAACAGACTTAACTTACTTAACATCATGCAAGGACCACTGCAGCTGAGGTAACATCACTACTAATGTCAGCCTGCATCTGCCCTTATTGCTGCCTTCAAACTAAATTGCAACAGGGAACTCAGCTGGTCTTCTATTACTGTTGTAACTAACACCTTAAAAAATAATAATAATAAAAAAAATAAAAACAACAACCCCTCACCCACAAAAACACACACACAAAAGAAGAGGGGATTTTTCTACTCTTCCCCCATCTTGTTCTGAACAGGAGGCTTTTGTATCAGGCCTTTGGACACATATTAGAAATCCATAGTGTATTTCCTAGTGACTTGCTCCTAACAAAGTAATATTGCCCTTTTTGCTCCAGAGAAAGAAACCGGTATACAACTGGTGAACTTCGGGCAACTGTGGCTTGAATCTTTAACTGACTGACCAAAACCTAGAAGGGAACAGAATCATAAAGGAAAGAAAACGTGCAGGAAGTTTTGTGCTGAAAAAAGTATTTCAGTGATGTATCCCATCTGCTACTGCTGAGAAGCAGAGGAAATACTGGAAGCTCTGAGTAGTTTTATGGAGGTTGCATAGTGCTCCATTTAGCTGAAATGGAACTGCTGCCTTCCTTACCATAAAAGCCAAAGGCTTTCAATCTGTCCTTTGTACCGGGATGAATAATTCATTGGAGGCTTGGCTGGCCTGAATAGCTCCCTCCCCTCCATGCAAGGCAGGGCTGAAGAGTCGATACAAGTTGGTCTCTGTACTCTGCATCGGGTGCACACCATTGTGCCAGACAAGCACAGAGGGGCCCCCCACAAGAGAATCAAAGCAGAGGAAGCCTCCTATAAAGCACAATACCCTGAATTTTGCCAGCAGTATGCAAACAGAGCAGTACAGTCTCTTGCTCACCATCAGGAAAACACCGCTCCAGACGCTGTTGCCTGCCCTGAAGTTAGATGAACCTAGGGCCTTGAAATATAGGGGAAGAAATATATTGTTATATATGGAGTGGTAATTTGTGTCGAGAAAATGGTTGATATTGTTATAAATGAGGTCTCAACTCAATCTGAATTTTGTAATATTTATAAAACAAATATTTCTAAAAGGTATAAAAGCTATAAAAGGTATAAAAGGCAAGTAAACAGCGCTGGGTGAGCGGGGAGTCTACGCTCCACCAACACACACACACAAACATCAAACATTCTAAATATACAGATCATGGCTTTACGTACTAAACCCGACTATGTTGGTGGAGCGTAGACTCCCCGCACACCCAGCGTTGTTTACTTGCCTTTTATACCTTTTATAAATATTCTTTTATAAATATTACTAAATTCAGATTGAGTTGAGACTTCGTTTATAACAATGTGGTGTGGGGCAGGGGAGACGGTGTGTAAATGGACACCACTGTTTCTTGTGATTTGCTTTCTAACTACAGGAACGTGAGATGCTAGGAAAAAAAAAATCGGGTTTTTGTAATGGGAAATAAAATAGAACCAAAGAAAACACCACGTGCCTCACTGGTCAGAAAAGGAAATTGAAACCCCAAGGAATATAAAGTCATTTTTTTTTCCACGGAAGTTGAAAAAGAAAACATGATGAATTATGCAAAACGGAGGAACTGGAGTTCAGCAAAATTCTACACGGCACACAAGCTATAGGAAGTTCAAAGGTAGTACTGCATGCCTAACTCAGTTCTGTAAGCCACATCAATCACTTTTAAACTATTGATAAAGAATTTGTACTTAAAAGCCATTTTATTTGTAAAGCACACATTAAAACCCAAATAATACTAACAGCAGAAGTACTGACAGAACTGTGAAAAGGCTGCAAGATGAAGAGCATGTCACACTTCCAGTGCATTTATAATAACAGTGCTGCTTGTAAGCAAAATCACTTCAGATTAGAGCAATATCTATTTTTCACAAACTACAGACTTAGAAGAAGACAAATCACTTCCAAGTGCCAGATTTCTTTCTAAGGATGTTTATTAGCTTTAAAATGAAACATTTTTTCCCCAGAATTAAGTCGGCATTTTAATGAAATAATCCTTTCCCTCTTAGCCTAAAACAAACTTCACAATCTTTATAACCAGATGTAACCAACTTCATTCTTCAGTTCCAACACTTGCACACAAAGAACAAACAGGACAGTGACGTATCATTTAATCTAATGGTGTATTAGTAACAGACATTTTGCTTGGACAACGTTATTTGTCCAGGATAGACAGCACCTAATTCTGTTAGATCCAGCATCTAATTCCTTGATCCTGAAAGGCTCAAGGCTTTTAACGCTATCTAGCAAATCTAGCTGTCAATGCTACAAACTCTCACACTCTCTGAGCTTGGTTTATCTAAGTAATTTCTGCTGGCTTTGAAACAGGGCTGCCTGTATTTAACTACTTCAGCCCCTTTGGGGAGCCTCAATTCTGGAACGTACCAACAATTAGATACTCCCTGTGCACTACGATGTTGTCTCTGGTAGTGAACAGGAAACACCTCCCACACAGTGGACCTCTGGATTCCTCCTGCTAGTATGTGTCACTCAATTCAAGGGAATACCCACGCAGGGTACTCTGAACCTCATGTGTTGGGAGAGTGGTCCAAGAGAGGAAGAAGTTACATCTTATTCTCCATGTCTTTACTCACAGAAGATTCACCAATCTTCATTTTAAGAGCAGGTACACAAAGCACAAGACTATCATTTGCATTGGTGGTCACTTTGCTCCAGACCCCATAATTCTGTGATTCAGTGAACTACCATGCATGCCAGCAGCTCAGGATGATCAGCTTCTATTGAGTTTATGGAAGGCACTGAGCTTAGCAAGTACAACAGCTTCTGCCTTAAGCAGTTAACTGTAATGTGTAAGCTGGACACAATGAAATCTTACAACAGGCTAAAAAACATAGAGCAGATTGTTTTTTTTTTTTTTATGGCACTCTCATTTATCTTTTGCTCTGGTACCTTGCTGGTAATTTCCATATCAATTTTATTATGGCCGTTTAAGGACACTTTCCTGTGAGAGTTGGCCAAACATGAATCTTCACAAGACACCTGGAAAGGCTTGGCAGGTCTTTGCTGAAGTGACTTTGAGAGGAAAACCACCCCTGCAGCTCCTACCCAGGCCTCACTGTTTAAGCAAGGAAATGCTGCCCATAAATGCTGCCAACTGCTGCACAACATTTCCAGGCCCAGCAATGAGGACAAAATATTTTCAGGTTCCTGACCACCTGCAATGGCTTACGTTTCAATGTTAATTGAGCTGTGTTTCTTTGTACTTCTACCTTAGAGCAAGTAACACAAAAACCCAGCACACTGCTTTTGAACAGAACAGTAAAGTAACCAAGTATGAATGCTCTCCTGTCTGTCTACAACTTGGTAAATCAAATGAGAAAACACTGTTTAAGACATCAGATACCTAACAAAGCCTCCTGCTACCAACAATCTCAACAACAAAATATTCACAGCTGTCAGAACAAAGAAGTAGTAGCGCTGTAACACTGTGTTTCCTATTCCTTCTTTAGGATGCCTTTTAATTAACTCCCTTCTGCACTGCCTATGTCTGAGGCACATTTATCATCCCTACCCCCTCTATTGCCTCGTGTTCCAGCAAAGAAGCAGAGCTGATTCTGTCCTTTCTTGATAAAGATAGACCAGGCCTCTCTGATCAGCAGTGACCTACTAATGAAATTCCAAGCATGCATATGCACGTGCACATCCAACAACACAAATTCCCAAAGCTGTTGTGAGGCAGAAGGATAGTATACGCTTGTATCAAGCACATACAGGCTTTAACAGACTCATCTGGCATCACAGCACTGTATTCAGCTCATTTTAGTGTCAACATACTCTATGTACTTGCTCTATAGCAAAACCTAGTCACAGACTGTACTTTTAATCAATGTGATGCATTCAGTCTGTGCTTCTCTAACACACATCCTTCCAGTAATGGATTCCATCCACACCTGGTGCCAGAAACAGAGCAAACAGTATCACCACAGTACAAACAAGATCAGAGGCTCCAAATGAAAAGCCCCAGTGAAAGATAGGACATACATGCAGCGCAGTATCTCCCTGTCATTAAAAACCAATTAGAACATAGTTGCTGGCACTGACCCAATGCCAGGAGTCAAAGTTTCCAGCCTAAGTGGAAACCTACTACATTAAACAAGCACAATTCAGCATGTAGGAGTTATTTCTCAAAGGTCCCATATCCTAATTTGCTGCTTTCTTTTCCCATACAAAATCCAGTTTGAACTCTAACACTGTGAGCAGCAGTGTGTCCCTGTCACACACAAACAGCAATCAGCTGCTCACAGAGATGCTGAATGATGCTCGATATTTCATCCTGGAAGACCTGTCAGCAGATTTTCTCTATCACACTGTACTTCTACATAAAACTAAGCCCACTGGAATGACTGACCGCCAGTATTTGCAAATGGAAGATTTTTCAGCAACTAGATAGTACGTGAATCCATCAATATCTAGTAAGTCATCTTCTTCTCCTGCACAAATGAATTGCTTCTGAATGTAAGCTCTTAGGAAAACACATAGCAGAATTAAGGTGGAAGTCTATTTGCAAGAGACTTGTCACTTCTAAAACTTAAGAAAAAGCAAAAAAACACAACATAGCATGTCTAAAACGTGCTATGTCAAAATCACAGTTCAAAGGAGAGTTATATGTTGGATTTTGGAGAATTAAGAGGCATTTCCGTTTGAAAGCAGCCAAATCATACTTTCAAACCAAAAAGCTAAACAAATGAAGCACACTACCAGGCTTATCCCTGAGATTCAACAATTTAAAAAAAAAAATCATTCTTAGACAGGTCTGGGGGGGATTTCTTTTCCTGTTTGGTACTTGAAAGCCCATTGACATAAAGAAGCATCGTTAGATTTCCCAGACTACAAATATGCAACACAAGAATGTTCAAAACGTAAGCTGTAAAGGTCCTGGGTTCTAACCTTGTCTCTCAAACACATACTTGGATATCCATTGTTACCTGCTAGAGGAAATGCAGCTTCTAAACAATCTGAAGTGTTCATCAACAGAAGGAGTCGATTGCTGTGGAAAGCTGAAATCAAAGGCTTACTATTTCCATAGAGGAAGAAGCAGAGACTGATGCAGCTTAGAAAAAAAAAAATATCTCAACTTTAAATATATGTTTGCAGTATCCAAAATAACTCCGCTTACAGGCTGAGATATTACTTTGCTTGTGGTATTCATTGTTTTCTCCCACTTCCCCCTTAAGCAAATTATCAGCAACCTGTTGAGTAGTAGTGGCATCCAAACACTGACCATAGCCTCACCTTTCATGGCTTAATGATATGTCCACAGGTACTGGCACCATCACTTGGAGACTGTCCAGCTCTTTCTCACGTGCATGTAAACATATGAGCTGCAGTTCTGCTACTCCGACATGCTTCACTTCATGCCAGTTTCTCCCTAGAAAGGTTTGTCATCAGTGAGATGGACCAGAACACAAAACATAAGTTCCGATCGTTCAAGTATCAAATTTCAAATTTAATTTAACATCTTCCATTTTTATCCCTTCCTCTCCTTACAGGGGAGAGGACCACCCCATACAGCTGGCAAGATTTCTTTCTGAGAAACAAACCTGCTAAAGAAACCTGTGGGAGCACTACTACTGTGGTGAGTTCAGAGCTACGCTGATGGATGGTGTCTGGGGATCCGTTTGACGAGACTTTGTTTCACAAAGGTAAAAAGAAGACAAAAACTTATCTTTAGTCACCTGCAGCATAAAACTGTAAACCAAACCTGAAATTTATCAGTACCCGAAACTGTGTGGAACAGGTGCTACAGGCATGGTTGTTGATGACACACAGTTCTTCCCTTCTGCTTGAAGAGATGAGGCTAAAAATTTTCATTGCGTAACTATAGGAGCAATCTCTCAGAGCTTATTAAGACATTTTCTATAAGGGGTTTAACAATAATTACAACAGATGTGTGCTTTCTGGCCTGTAATATTCCTCCATACCCTGACACTGAGAATCACCAGCCTCCAAGAGAAACTCATTATTGTTACTGGGCTGGCTGCCTGCCTATGTGCAGTCCCTTCTCAATGGAGCCCATCTAGGAGAATTGCAAGCAGAGGTTTATCATCACATAACACTATTCCACTCTTGTAAGGCATCAGAAGACTATGCTAAGTTTGGCGTAATTACTGTCACCAGATTTCTAAGCGGTCTTCTTTCCTACAGGAATGCTTGCCCCTTCCAGAAACCAGCATCCTAATCAGACTGGCACACTTCAGGCATTTTCTAAACTGTAATCTTAGGAAGATGCTATGATTTAGTAGCTTTGACATTAACCTACAAAAGAGGATTCTATTACCAGTACAACCACGGAACTTGTAACTTTGCCCTTCCATATCCCCTTTTCTTCCCCTACTCCTCTTTTTCTTTTTTCCATGCCAAGTGTCTTTGCTCTGGAAGGTCTGCACCTGTAACTGTGACTGCTGGCCGAAATGGGCCTTAATCTTTGTAAAGGCTCTGGGTAGGCACACGATAGAAATCTTTGGTTCTAAAATACCATGTTTCTTAGGTAACCATCACTGCATTAAGTTTCAAAGCAAATGGCAAGGATTTCTGCAGGAAAGGCTCTGATAGTGCACAAACCTTAGTTAATGCCTAACATGTTAATACATTTTTGGTACATCTGTCCAGTCACTTCATTGAATTACCTTCTAAGAGGTCCAGGTATACCAGAAACGCGGCATAGATTTGACTACTGTCAGATATATCAAGGGACATCATTTCTGTAAACTGAAACCAAAAAGACAACATTGGTCAAAGGAAGATGAAGTTGCATTAAAAACATAAAGACCAGACCCAGAATCTATACAGCTGTCTAACCTGTTGAGTCTGAAACCAGTTTTAAGGACTAACAGGGAATTAAAAGACAGGAACAGTTTTCTGACAATATCTTCAGAGTTTTCTTCCACATCCCCCCTATTTCGGCCATTAAGAAAGCAAGCCAAATAAATAAGCAACAGAGGAAATGCAACTATATCTGGAACAGAACTGGCTTTGTGGACATCTATGAATTTTACCTATTTTTGCTGCAGTACATCAACACAAGATGGCAGCCAGATTAAATACCTCTGTGTTTTCAGCATACTAAAAATTCAGATGGATTTAAAAGTTTACATTTGCATTTTCCAGCTACAGTTTCAGCATCTAAAACTTCACCCTCTGCTAAAGCCAGCATTCCCCCACAACCCCACTGGCTTTCATCACAGGCCAGGAGATGAGCTCCCCCGACAGACCTAAACCCCACAAAACATGTTAGACTAAAACCCCCTCCCTGAGCACCAATTCTTGGTAAGGGAAGGGTGACCTGGCACCTTCACTGGCCCCAGAGCCATGAAGATGTACCCAAGGTGCTCCTCAGAGCAACAGTGGCCCAAGGTAGCAGAAAATGCCATCAATAGGAACCTGGACAAGCTTGAGAAGTGGGCCCATGTGAATCTAATGAGGTTCAACAAGTCCAAGTGCAAGGTGCTGCACCTGGGTTGGGACAATCCCAGACACGAGCTGGACATGAGCCAGCAGCGTGTGCCTGCAGCCCAGAAGGGCAACTGCATCCTGGGCTGCACCAACAGAGGTGTGACCAGCAGGCCGAGGGAGGTGACTGTGCCCCTCTGCTCTGCCTATGTGAGGCCCCACCTGGAGTCCTGCATCCAGGTCTGGGGCCCCCAGCACCAGAAGGACGTGGGGCTGTTAGAGTGGGTAGAGAGGAGGCCATAAGGATGCTCAGAGGCTGGAGCAGCTCTCTTGGGGAAAAAAGGTTGAGAGAGCTGGGGCTGTTTGGCCTGGAGAAAAGGCTCCAGGGTGATCTCATTGTAACTTTTCAATACTTAAAGGGGGCTTATAAAAAGATGGAGCGACTTTTTGCTTGGGCAGATGACAGTAGGACAAGGAGTAGTGGCTTTAAACTATACGAGGGGAGATTTAGATGAGGCGTTAGGAGGAAATCCTGCACACAGCGGGAGGTGAGGGGCTGGAACCCGCTGCCCGGAGAAGCCGTGGCTGCCCCATCCCGGAGGGGCTCCAGCCGGGCTGCACGGGGCTGGGAGCGGCCCGGCACGGCCGCAGGGCAAGGCTGGAGCCCACCCCCACCCCGCCCCGAGCCCCCCCCGGCCGCGGGCCCTACCACGGGGTGCGCCGCCATCCAGTTGCCGCCGGCCCCTCCCGCCCAGCGCCGGCCGCCGGCAGAGGAGCCCCCCGGCGGGCCGCAGCCCCCCTCAGCCCGGCCGGGCTCGGGCTCGGGCTGCAGCTCCGGCTCCGGCTCCATGCTTCCCCCGGTGCAACGCCACTCGGCTCCGGGCGGCGCCGCAGCTCCGCCCTCTCCCCGGCAGCCGCCGCAGTTCCGCCGCCGCCGCGTTCCGCCGGGGCCGGGGGAGGCCGTGGGGATGTGTGAGGGGAGCGAGACAGGGAGCAAGACAGAAACAAAAGCAAATATATTATCATTAATGTATGGCGTCCGAAGTTTTTACAGACTGGTTAAGACGTTTAGATTCAAGGTGTTGTTATTGAAAGCATCTCAGACGGCTTTATTAAGGAATGTCTCAGACTGCGGGTGGAAGTAACCTGCACGTGTACAGCTGCTGGTCAGGCTTATCAGCTCTGTCTTGGTGCCTCTTTTGATAAATTCAGACACTGGTTTAAATGAAGTCAGGCCTGTGTCTTACAGCATTGTGAATAGCTTCGAGCTGGTGTCCATGCATAAAAAAGCTATGCACTATTTAACAGATACCTAGAGCATATTGTTGTAACAGCAGATGAGCGACTGCAAAACCCTTCCTAGTGCACTGTGATTGTTCTTAATCGGGCTACACCAAGGAAGATCTGGCTGACATTGAAAACAGGCTGACAACTACACTGATGAGAGGAAACGTTGAGTATGATCTTGAGATGATCAAATTGATACAGGGCATAGCAAAAAATCAACAGTCTTCAACCCATCTTCACAGAATCACAGAATTGTCTAGGTTGGAAGAGACCTCAAGATCATTGAGTCCAACCCTGACCTAACACTAACAAGTCCTCCACTAAACTATATCACTAAGTTCAACATCTAAACATCTTTTAAAGACCTCCAGGGATGGGGACTCCACCACTTCCCTGGGGAAGCCCATTCCAATGCCTCACAACCCTCTCAGTAAAGAAGTTCTTCCTAATATCCAACCTAAAACACCCCTGGCGCAACTTTAGCCTGTTCCCCCTCACATCCTGTCACCAGGCATATGGGAGAATAGACCAACTGCTACCTTTCTACAGCCTCCTTTAACAAGCCGCATCTCTACAGCCTTCTTTAAAGAGCGATAAGGTCGTCCCTGAGCCTCCTTTTCTCCAGGATGAACAAGCCCAGCTCCCTTAGCTACTCCTCATAGGACTTGTTCTCCAGACCCCTCACCAGCTTTGTCACCCTTCTCTGGACTCTCTCAAGCACCTTGATATCCTTCTTGTAGTGAGGGGCCCAAAACTGAACACAGTACTCGAGGTGTGGCCTCACCAGAGCTGAGTACAGGGGGACAATCACTTCCCTAGACCTGCTGGCCACACTGCTTCTTATGCAGGCCAGGATGCTGTTGGCCTTCTTGGCCACCTGAGCACGCTGCTGGCTCATATTCAACCGACTATCCACCAATACTCCCAGGTCCTTCTACACCTGGCAGCTTTCCAACTGCTCATCTCCCAACCTGTAGCTCTGCTTGGGGTTATTGCGCTCCAGGTACAGGACCTGGCACTTGGCCTTGTTGAACTTCATACAGTTGACCTCAGCCCTTGGGTCCTGAGCCGGTGTGGAAGAAGAACGGCCTGGCTCAACAGAGAGTTGCAGCCTGAGCTTAGGAGAAAAGAGAGGGTTTACAATCTTTGGAAAAAAGGGCGGGACACTGAGGAGGACTATAAGGATGTTACGAGGCTGTGCAGGGACAAAATTAGAAAGGCCTAAGCTCATCTGGAGCTCAACCTGGCTGCTGCCGTTAAAGACAACAAAAAATCTTTTTACAAATATATCAATGCAAAACGGAGGGTTAAGGAGAATCTCCATCCTTTACTGGATGCGGGGGGAAACCTTGTTACAAAAGATGAGGAAAAGGCAGAGGTGCTTAATGCCTTCTTTGCCTCAGTCTTTAGCGGTAATACTGGTTGTTCTCCGGACAACAACGACAACCTGCAATGATTCAGAAGTGCCTTACACCATTCACCCTTGAGACAGAAAACTGGGATTCCCATATGATGTAAGGGGAGTGCAATCCCTCTCAAAATACGAGAGCCTGGGGGACGCTACTGAGTACTGAAAATGTTAAGGCTAGGCAGCACCGAACTCAACAGAGAAGAGAGGCCGAGTCTCCCTGGCTGTTCACATAACAGACAAGAGCCTCAGCTTTTAGCCCTAAGCAATGATTCGTAGTGCCAGGCGGGGAACTAGTTCTTCTTAAGCCAGGGACCATTTCAGCATCTTTAAAGCTACAGAAAGGCTTGAAGGCTCTGTGGAATCATGTTCCTGGCACAAGAATCTGGGGACCAGGACTGGGCAAGTGGGGCACAAGTGTGCTGGGGAGCAAACTCTCTGGGCTGATTACCAGGGCTTTAAACTAGGTTTGATGGGGGAAGGGAGGGGAGCTAAAGGTGACAGAGAAGGGCTGGGCGAAGTCCTCACTACTCTTATAAATGGCTCAGTCTTCAAAATAGGACTATAATCAAAGTTTACAATTTATTAAAGGAATAGAGGTAGGCAAACAGCGCTGGGTGCGCCGGGAATCTCTGCTCCACCAAGACACACACCAGTTATTACATCAAGCAGCTGATTTTTACGCTCCTAGGCTAACACATGTTCATTACTGCTTCTAAAAAAAGCAGGGTTATTATAATTAGTTTCCGGAATCCAAACCCTCCTACTGGAGCATGCGTAACAGTCTCCGGTGGTCCCTCTGGGGGTCTCTCATGCGGAAGGCTCATAGTCTTCCTCCCTCTGGTCCTTCTCCTTTGTCCAGCTTGGCTGTAAGAGACTTGTGCAGCATCCCCTGCAAACTTTGTCTTTTAGTCGTTCTTCAGCTTTCCCCGTCTCCTTCTTCTCGCATCCCCCCGGGGTAACTGTACCTGCTGCTTCCCTAAAGCGCATGGGCACGGAGTGTGGGAAACAAACAGGATGAGCTCAAGGTCTGCGTTCGGATGGGGAGCGAGGACTCGGGGAGCGAGGACTGCGGGGAGCGAGGACTGCGGGGAGCGAGGACTGCGGGGAGCGAGGACTGCGGGGAGCGAGGACTGCGGGGAGCGAGGACTGCGGGGAGCGAGGACTGCGGGGAGCGAGGACTGCGGGGAGCGAGGACTGCGGGGAGCGAGGACTGCGGGGAGCGAGGACTGCGGGGAGCGAGGACTGCGGGGAGCGAGGACTGCGGGGAGCGAGGACTGCGGGGAGCGAGGACTGCGGGGAGCGAGGACTGCGGGGAGCGAGGACTGCGGGGAGCGAGGGACTGCGGGGAGCGAGGACTGCGGGGAGCGAGGACTGCGGGGAGCGAGGACTGCGGGGAGCGAGGACTGCGGGGAGCGAGGACTGCGGGGAGCGAGGACTGCGGGGAGCGAGGACCTGCGGGGAGCGAGGACTGCGGGGAGCGAGGACTGCGGGGAGCGAGGACTGCGGGGAGCGAGGACTGCGGGGAGCGAGGACTGCGGGGAGCGAGGACTGCGGGGAGCGAGGACTGCGGGGAGCGAGGACTGCGGGGAGCGAGGACTGCGGGGAGCGAGGACTGCGGGGAGCGAGGACTGCGGGGAGCGAGGACTGCGGGGAGCGAGGACTGCGGGGAGCGAGGACTGCGGGGAGCGAGGACTGCGGGGAGCGAGGACTGCGGGGAGCGAGGACTGCGGGGAGCGAGGACTGCGGGGAGCGAGGACTGCGGGGAGCGAGGACTGCGGGGAGCGAGGACTGCGGGGAGCGAGGACTGCGGGGAGCGAGGACTGCGGGGAGCGAGGACTGCGGGGAGCGAGGACTGCGGGGAGCGAGGACTGCGGGGAGCGAGGACTGCGGGGAGCGAGGACTGCGGGGAGCGAGGACTGCGGGGAGCGAGGACTGCGGGGAGCGAGGACTGCGGGGAGCGAGGACTGCGGGGAGCGAGGACTGCGGGGAGCGAGGACTGCGGGGAGCGAGGACTGCGGGGAGCGAGGACTGCGGGGAGCGAGGACTGCGGGGAGCGAGGACTGCGGGGAGCGAGGACTGCGGGGAGCGAGGACTCGGGGAGCGAGGACTGCGGGGAGCGAGGACTGCGGGGAGCGAGGACTGCGGGGAGCGAGGACTGCGGGGAGCGAGGACTGCGGGGAGCGAGGACTGCGGGGAGCGAGGACTGCGGGGAGCGAGGACTGCGGGGAGCGAGGACTGCGGGGAGCGAGGACTGCGGGGAGCGAGGACTGCGGGGAGCGAGGACTGCGGGGAGCGAGGACTGCGGGGAGCGAGGACTGCGGGGAGCGAGGACTGCGGGGAGCGAGGACTGCGGGGAGCGAGGACTCGGGGAGCGAGGACTGCGGGGAGCGAGGACTCGGGGAGCGAGGACTCGGGGAGCGAGGACTCGGGGAGCGAGGACTCGGGGAGCGAGGACTCGGGGAGCGAGGACTGCGGGGAGCGAGGACTCGGGGAGCGAGGACTGCGGGGAGCGAGGACTCGGGGAGCGAGGACTGCGGGGAGCGAGGACTCGGGGAGCGAGGACTGCGGGGAGCGAGGACTCGGGGAGCGAGGACTGCGGGGAGCGAGGACTCGGGGAGCGAGGACTCGGGGAGCGAGGACTCGGGGAGCGAGGACTCGGGGGAGCGAGGACTCGGGGAGCGAGGACTCGGGGAGCGAGGACTCGGGGGAGCGAGGACTCGGGGAGCGAGGACTCGGGGAGCGAGGACTGCGGGGAGCGAGGACTGCGGGGAGCGAGGACTGCGGGGAGCGAGGACTCGGGAAGCGAGGACTCGGGGAGCGAGGACTGCGGGGAGCGAGGACTCGGGGAGCGAGGACTCGGGGAGCGAGGACTGCGGGGAGCGAGGACTCGGGGAGGCGAGGACTGCGGGGAGCGAGGACTCGGGGAGCGAGGACTGCGGGGGAGCGAGGACTGCGGGGAGCGAGGACTCGGGGAGCGAGGACTCGGGGAGCGAGGACTGCGGGACGAGGACTGCGGGGAGCGAGGACTCGGGGAGCGAGGACTGCGGGGAGCGAGGACTCGGGGAGCGAGGACTGCGGGGAGCGAGGACTGCGGGGAGCGAGGACTGCGGGGAGCGAGGACTCGGGGAGCGAGGACTCGGGGAGCGAGGACTGCGGGGAGCGAGGACTCGGGGAGCGAGGACTCGGGGAGCGAGGACTGCGGGGAGCGAGGACTCGGGGAGCGAGGGAGCGAGGACTGCGGGGAGCGAGGACTCGGGGAGCGAGGACTCGGGGAGCGAGGACTCGGGGAGCGAGGACTCGGGGAGCGAGGACTCGGGGAGCGAGGACTCGGGGAGCGAGGACTCGGGGAGCGGGACCACATGACAGAAACTTTAAAAAACCCCAAGTTCTATGTTACAGACACAGTCAAAAAAATCCTCAAGCTCCCCAACCCGTATCAAATTTTTAACCCAGGAGTACTTACCTGCCAGCTTCTGAATTTTACTTACTACCAAACAACTTCATGGGTAAGTAGCACCACCAGGGTTTTCCCATTCTGAGTAGTCACCACCGATGTTACTAGCTCATAGAGTGTCCCAAACTATTTCACAGAGATTGTAGAAAACTGGGTGAAAAAGCAGCCAACTTAGGAACACTGAGTCCATTTTACGAGGACAGTAGAAAAAGCACCCTAAGTAACCTGAATCTCATACTCCCCTAGAGTGGCAAGTCTTCCCATGCTCCTCATGCTTCCTTTATATCAAATGTCAAATGATCCCCACCTGGCAGATTTCGCTTCACATGTGTGGAGTCATGAGACCTTGTGGAATAGGCTCATCAACCTAGGTTTCAATGTTTAAGGTTCAATTGCTCCTTATCGCTAATAGAAATAACCTGGCTTAGTGGTTAGAGTTGACCTAATGAATTAAATACAAAAGGCGCGTAAGGCTCATATTTCTGCTAGTCATTCTGTGAGGAAAATTAGTACAGAGCCTGTTAAAATAAGATCAATAAACTTAAATAAAATAAAAAAGAAAATGACCTAAAAGGCAAAATTGCTGTCATAGATTTTCATCTGTCTAGTCACGACAGATAAAGAATATAGCAATCAGAAAGACTTTGCTTGACATTAATGTTGCTTAAATTTGCCTTTCTGAGATCTCTTCTTTATGCCGGACTTTTCAAAATCTAGCGCCATGACCTCCGACTGCAGTATTTACTTTGGCTGCACATAAACTATCACGTATAAATGCCAGGATACGGATCCTCACTCCCTGTTCAGGTCAAGGACCGGGCTGAAAGTTTTGGCTTCAATTTGGTTACATGACTACATTGCTGTTGTCATGGTTTCCCCTAGCCGGCAGCTAAGCACCACACAGCCGTTCGCACAGCCGTTCATTCGCTCAAGGCTTGTTGGAGCTGTGCCAGGGGGAACAATGGCAAGGCCGGGAGAGAAGGCAATGGCCTGGCTGAAGTGCATCTACACCAATGCACGCAGCATGGGTAACAAACAGGAGGAGCTGGAAGCCATCGTGCAGCAGGCAGGCTACGACTTGGTTGCCGTCACGGAGACGTGGTAGGACCAGTCTCATGACTGGAGTGCTGCAATGCCTGGCTATAGGCTCTTCAGAGGGGACAGGCAGCACAGAAGGGGTGGTGGTGTGGCTCTCTATATTAGAGAGTCTTTCGATGTTGTGGAACTCGAGGCTGGGAATGGCAAGGTTGAGTCCCTTTGGGTTAGGATCAGCGGGAAGGCCAACAAGGCTAGCGTCCTGGTCGGGGTCTGTTATAGACCGCCAAACCAGGATGAGGAGACGGATGAGGAGTTCTACAGGCAACTGACAGAAGTTGCAAAATCGTCGGCGCTTGTTCTCGTGGGGGACTTCAACTTCCCTGACATAACCTGGAAGCACAACACAGCCCAGAGAAAGCAGTCTAGGAGGTTTCTGTGGAAGGTAGTTTCCTGATGCAGCTGGTTAGTGAGCCTACCAGGGGTGGCGCCCCGCTAGACCTTCTCTTCACAAACAGAGAAGGACTGGTGGGAGATGTGGTGGTCGGAAGCTGTCTTGGGCAGAGTGACCACGAAATGGTGGAGTTCTCTATTCTTGGCGAGGCCAGGAAGGGGACCAGTAAAACCGCCGTATTGGACTTCTGGAGGGCTGACTTTGAGCTGCTCAGGACACTGGTTGGTAGAGTCCCTTGGGAGGTGGTTCTGAAGGGCAGAGGAGTCCAGGAAGGCTGGGAGCTCTTCAAGAGGGAAATCTTAATGGCGCAGGAGCGGTCTGCCCCACGTGCCCAAAGACAAGCCGGTGTGGAAGAAGAACGGCCTGGCTCAACAGAGAGTTGCAGCCTGAGCTTAGGAGAAAAGAGAGGGTTTACAATCTTTGGAAAAAAGGGCGGGACACTGAGGAGGACTATAAGGATGTTACGAGGCTGTGCAGGGACAAAATTAGAAAGGCCTAAGCTCATCTGGAGCTCAACCTGGCTGCTGCCGTTAAAGACAACAAAAAATCTTTTTACAAATATATCAATGCAAAACGGAGGATTAAGGAGAATCTCCATCCTTTACTGGATGCGGGGGGAAACCTTGTTACAAAAGATGAGGAAAAGGCAGAGGTGCTTAATGCCTTCTTTGCCTCAGTCTTTAGCGGTAATACTGGTTGTTCTCCGGATACCCAGTACCCTGAGCTGGTGGAAGGGGATGGGGAGCAGGATGTGGCCCTCACTGTCCACGAATAAATGGTTAGCGACCTGCTATGGCACTTGGATGTGCGCAAGTTGATGGGGCCGGATGGGATCCACCCGAGGGTACTGAGAGAACTGGCAGAGGAGCTGGCCAAGCCGCTTTCCATCATTTATCTGCAGTCCTGGCTATCGGGGGATGTCCCAGTTGACTGGTGGCTAGCAAACATGACGCCCATCTACATGAAGGGCTGGAGGGCAGACCCGGGAAACTATAGGCCTGTCAGTTTGACCTCAGTGCCAGGGAAGCTCATGGAGCAGATTATCTTGAGAGTCATCACGCAGCACTTGCAGGGCAAGCAGGCGATCAGGCCCAGTCAGCATGCGTTTATGAAAGGCAGGTCCTGCTTGACGAACCTGATCTCCTTCTATGACAAAGTGATGCGCTTTGGTGGATGAGGGAAAGGCTGTGGATGTGGTCTACCTTGACTTCAGCAAGGCTTTTGACACCGTTTCCCACAGCATTCTACTCAAGAAACTGGCTGCTCTTGGCTTGGACTGGCATATGCTTCGTTGAGTTAGAAACTGGCTGGATAGCCGGGCCCAAAGAGTCGTGGTGAATGGAGTCAAATCCAGTTGGAGGCCGGTCACCAGTGGCATTCCCCAGGGCTCGGTGCTGGGGCCGGTCCTCTTTAATATCTTCATTGATGATCTGGATGAAGGCATTGAGTGTACCCTCAGTAAGTTCGCAGATGACACCAAGTTAGGTGCGTGTGTCAATCTGCTCAAGGGTAGGAAGGCTCTGCAGGAGGATCTGGATAGGCTGCACCGATGGGCTGAGGTCAACTGCATGAAGTTCAACAAGGCCGAGTGCCGGGTCCTGCACCTGGGGTGCAATAACCCCAAGCAGAGCTACAGACTGGGAGAGGAAGGGTTGGAAAGCTGCCTGGCAGAGAAGGACCTGGCAGTATTGGTGGATAGTCAGCTGAATATGAGCCAGCAGCGTGCTCAGGTGGCCGAGAAAGCCAACGGCATCCTGGCTTGTCTAAGAAGCAGTGTGGCCAGCAGGGCTAGGGAAGTGATTGTCCCCCTGTACTCATCTCTGGTGAGGCCGCACCTCGAGTACTGTGTTCAGTTTTGGGCCCCTCTCTACAAGAAGGACATCGAGGTGCTTGAGCGAGTCCAGAGAAGGGCAATGAAGCTGGTGAGGGGCCTGGAGAACAAGTCCCACAAGGAGCGGCCGAGGGAGCCGCTTGTTCCTCCTGGAGAAGAGGAGGCTCGGGGCGACCTTATTGCTCTCTCCAGGTACCTTAAAGGAGGCTGTAGCAAGGTGGGGCTTGGTCTGTTCTCCCACGTGCCTGATGACAGGACGAGGGGAATGGGCTAAAGTTGCCCCAGGGGAGTTTTAGGTTGGATCTTAGGAAGAACTTCTTTACCGAAAGGGTTGTTAGACATTGGAACAGGCTGCTCAGGGAAGTGGTGGAGTCACCATCCCTGGGTGTCTTTAAAAGACATTTAGATGTAGAGCTCAGTGATATGGTTTAGTGGAGGACTGGTTAGTGTTAGGTCAGAGGCTGGACTAGATGATCTTGGAGGTCTCTTCCAACCTAGATAGTTCTGTGTTTCTGTTGCAGTCTCCCAGCTCAGAGCCAGCCACCTATTAGTCTGGCGCAAGGGATTTGTGTGTTCCTTGCACTAGCTGTTCCTTCACCTCCTCTTCACATACAAGGACACGCATCTCTTTCACGCTCCTTCAGGAGTAAACAAGCCAGGAGAGATTAAAGCCTCTTTCTTCAGGTCAGTAAGATCCCTGCCTTTGGTTTCAGTGAGAATTCAGGCCCTAAAAACTCAAGTGTCTTCTGGACGGTGTTTCTTCTGGTAGGATGATTTCATTTCTCTTTTGAAGGCTTACGGGGATGTAGTAGCAAAAGCAAAGGCATAAAACGGTACCTGAGGCACAGGCTAGTTTTCAGCCTGCAGCAGACTACAGGTATGATATCATCCTTTGATATCATACCTATATCATATATCATGTTATCGTATCAAGAAACGTAGAAAACTGCCTGTTGCTTCTCAGGTTTAAAGTTTTCCCTTAAAAGGTGTATGCAAAGGTATAATCAGCTGTCTGAGTACAATTCTCACGTATACATGAGCATTTTCCTCTCCCCTTCCCAACTTGGAGTGCAACACTTTTCATCATACTGTTATAAATTCCGAGTCAACTTAGCTTTATGAGATTTATTTATGGGGTTAATAAAAGGCAAGTAAAGAGCGCTGGGTGCGCGGGGAGTCTGGGCTCCTCCAACACGCACACACGTTACATCAGGCGGCAGCTTTTTCTGCTCCTAGGCTAATACATGTTCATTACTACTTCTAGAAAAGGCAGTGTTATTATAATTGGTTCCCGGATTCCGAACCCTCCCACTGGCACATGCATATCAGTCCCCGGTGGTCCCTCTGGGGGTCTCTCGTGCTGAAGGCTCATAGCCTTCCTCCCAGGCTTTGTCTTTGTCCTTCTCTTTTGTCCGTCTTGGCTGGATATCAGGCTTGCCTCTAACTCTAAACAAAAAAGAGAGAGAGGCACACCTTTCTACTCTGTCAGCTACTGGCAGACCTAGAGAGAAAAAAAAAAAAGTTGTTAATTAAAAAGTAATGTTGTTTTAAGGCATTTCACCAAATATGTTAATATTTGGTAGAAACCAGACAACAAATGAAAGGGAAGAAGAAATGGTAGAAGGTACTTGCATGACCTTAATTTACACAGCAATGGACAACAACGACAACCTGCAATGATTCAGAAGTGCCTTACACCATTCACCCTTGAGACAGAAAACTGGGATTCCCATATGATGTAAGGGGAGTGCAATCCCTCTCAAAATACGAGAGCCTGGGGGACGCTACTGAGTACTGAAAATGTTAAGGCTAGGCAGCACCGAACTCAACAGAGAAGGGAGGCCGAGTCTCCCTGGCTGTTCACATAACAGACAAGAGCCTCAGCTTTTAGCCCTAAGCAATGATTCGTAGTGCCAGGCGGGGAACTAGTTCTTCTTAAGCCAGGGACCATTTCAGCATCTTTAAAGCTACAGAAAGGCTTGAAGGCTCTGTGGAATCATGTTCCTGGCACAAAAATCTGGGGACCAGGACTGGGCAAGTGGGGCACAAGTGTGCTGGGGAGCAAGCTCTCTGGGCTGATTACCAGGGCTTTAAACTAGGTTTGATGGGGGAAGGGAGGGGAGCTAAAGGTGACAGAGAAGGGCTGGGCGAAGTCCTCACTACTCTTATAAATGGCTCAGTCTTCAAAATAGGACTATAATCAAAGTTTACAATTTATTAAAGGAATAGAGGTAGGCAAACAGCGCTGGGTGCGCCGGGAATCTCTGCTCCACCAAGACGCACACCAGTTATTACATCAAGCAGCTGATTTTTACGCTCCTAGGCTAACACATGTTCATTACTGCTTCTAAAAAAAGCAGGGTTATTATAATTAGTTTCCGGAATCCAAACCCTCCTACTGGAGCATGCGTAACAGTCTCCAGTGGTCCCTCTGGGGGTCTCTCATGCGGAAGGCTCATAGTCTTCCTCCCTCTGGTCCTTCTCCTTTGTCCAGCTTGGCTGTAAGAGACTTGTGCAGCATCCCCTGCAAACTTTGTCTTTTAGTCGTTCTTCAGCTTTCCCCGTCTCCTTAGTCTCCTGGCCAGATACCAGAGACTTGCATAGCGTCCCATGCAATAGTCATAATAGTTAGCAGCTATTCTGAACCCCCCCAGATATCAGAGACTTCAAGTAAAAGCCTACAAATACATTTCCCTTCAAGCTCTCTATTGACACGAATTGCTAAAACATTCCTTTGCAAGGTACAAGAACTACATACATGTACATTAACCACTCTGTTTTTCTTAGACTTGTGCTTATAGAAGGGTCTGTAGGAGAGAAGGTCACATTCCTCATACCATGCAGCCCTAGCATTGTTCCATACTGCCACGGATCAGATGAACACATTTCACACCACTGTCACTGTTGAAGACAGGAAAAACTTCTGAGCTCTCCCATAGGATTGTCTGAGGGCTCCTCAGAGAAGGTAGCATTCCCAATCCCCCGTCCAGTATCTTCTTCTTGCATCCCCCCGGGGTAACTGTACCTGCTGCTTCCCTAAAGCGCTTGTGCACGGAGCGTGGGAAATAAACAGGATGAGCTCAAGGTCTGCGTTCGGACGCGGGGCCACGATCTCGCTGCGATCACTGAGACGTGGTGGGACAGCTCACATGACTGGAACACAATCATGGAGAGCTACATCCTCTTTAGGAGAGACAGGCTGGGGAAGCGAGGGGGTGGGGTTGTCCTTATGTGAGAGAGCAATTAGAGTGTACCCAGCTCCAGCTGGGGGAGGGTGATGGACAGGTGGAGAGCTTGTGGGGACCGGGACTGGGGACCAGGACTGGGGACCAGGACTGGGGCTGCGTGGCGGGCGTCCATGCGCTCCGGGGCAGGGCACACCTTCACCCTCCCCACTGCAGCCCGGGCAGCCGCGCTCCTGCCCCTCCTGCAGCTGGTGGGTGCCGGACAGTGCCCCGGGCAGCTCAGGGACGGCGGGGTGAGACCCGGCCGGGCGCTGCTTTCGCGTTTCTTTCAGCTCCAGCCCAGGCTCCCCGCCGAGCTCCCGCTGCCCGATACCGGCGCCTTTCGCCGCTCCGCCCGGCGGCCGGCCGGGGGCGTGCCGAGCCGTGCCGAGCCGCTCGGAGCCGTGCCGAGCCGTGCTGCCCACAAAGGCCGGCTCTGAGGGCGCCGGGCCGGCAGCGCTCCTCCCCGCGGCTCTGCTCTGGCACCCATCATGGCTCCGTGCGACCCTCGTCCTCTCCTCCTCGTCCTCCTGCTGCTGCCGGGCGGCTGCGGGGCCGGCCTGCCCCCGGAGCCGCCGCCGCCGCCGAGCCCGCAGCTGCAGCCCCAGCCCCTGCCCGAGTCGGCTCCGCAGAAGCCCACCGTGCTGCTGGCCATCATCGCCCGCAACGCGGCGCACGCGCTGCCCCACTTCCTCGGCTGCATCGAGAGGCTGCGCTACCCCAAGAGCAGGATCGCCCTCTGGTAAGGGGCGAGAGGGGCTCGGGGGGTTGGCGGCGGGGCCGTGCCTGGGAAAGGGCAGGGGACTCGGCTCAGCCCCCCGTCCCACCCCCCCCGGCCGCCCTGCCGAGCCCCCGGGGCTTGGGGACGAAGCTGGCCTGAAGCCGGGGAGCTTTCAGGTTGCCTCAAGTTATGCCAGGGGAGGTTTAGGTTGGAAATGAGGAGACGTTTCTTCTCAGAAAGAGTGGAACGGGTTGCCCGGAGAAGTAGTGGAGTCACTGTCCCTGAGGGTGTTCAAGGAAAGGTTTGACCTGGCCCTTAGGGACATGGTTTAGCGGGTGACATTGGTGGTAGGGTGCTGGTTGGACTGGATGATCTTGGAGGTCTTTTCCAACTGTAATGATCCTGTGTTTCTTTCAGTGCTTAGCTTTTGTCCAAACCTGCAGACACCAAGTACTCGCGGCTTAGTACGGAGAGCTGGCTGCTGTTCTGCTTGCTGGCTGCTAAATGCCAGGCTATCTGGGAAGGCTGCTGGGGTCTGCCAGGGCTGCGGGGTGGATGTGTGGAGTAGGTGCTGGGGGGCATTGAAAAGGAGCATTGTTGCAAGGCTGTCCTCTGAAAGACGCATTCAAAGATGTATTCAGAAATCACAGCATGGGGGCAGCTGTGGCAATGAAGCGTGTGTTGGGATGGAGGAATTGGACCAATTTAGAAATTGGTCAGTCAGTCATTATCTGTAGGGATTAGAGGTTCTTTCCCTCTTGACTTGGCATAAATGAGGGGAGCAACAGGACCTGCCTGGATGGGTCTAAAATAGTCTCATTATTTTAGGCATGGAAAGCGTGGAAATTGTGTAAAAATAAGAAATGCTGGCGTAGGGCTTGATCACAAATCACTGAAGTCAGTGGGGAGACTCCTGTTAACTTAGAGTAGATAAAGTGTACCTTTGCATAAAGGGCTATAGGGAGCATACATACCCTCCATACACCCCCTGGTCATTCACTGACTCTGAAGTAGCATTAAGTCCGCAGGACTAGATGTTTCTGCCTGTATTCCAGGAACATGCTTGTTACTTGTCCTCAGGTCCTCTATGGGTCTTTACAGAGAATTAGCGGCAGCTTTATTTATTTAAGTTTAGTGTGCACAAAAAAATGTCATGATAGTGGCACAAACATGGTGTGCTGCACAGACAAGATGGCTGTGAGTTATGAGTGGATGATTAGTAGTGGGTGAATGCAAGACTCACCTGTGTGTAGGTATGTGACCTGCTTTCATTTCTGTCAGTAGGAGTTTTGCTGGTTTGGATTTCATTGTATCAGATGAGGGGCAATGGAGCTGGTGAAGGGTCTAGAGGACAAGTCTTATGGGGAACTTGGGTTGTTTATCCCAGAGAGAAGGAGACTTGGGGAGGTCTCATCACGCTTCACAACTACCTTAAAGGAGGTGATGGTGAGATGTGGGTCGGTTTCTTCTCCCAAGCACTAAGTGCTAAGACAAGAGGAGATGGCCTTAAGTTGCGCCAGGGGAGGTTTAGGTTGAATATTAGGAAAAATTTCTTCACTCAAAGGGTTGTGAGGCATTGACGCAGGCTGCCCAGGGAAGTGGTTGAGTCACCATTCCTGGAGGTCTTCAAAAAATGTGTAGATGTGGTGCTTAGGGATATGGTCTAGTGGTGAACATGAAAATCTTGAACTAAAGGTTGGACTGGATGATCTTGGAAGTCTTTTCCAACCTAAATGATTTCTGTGCTTCTGTAAAATATATATGAGTAGGTATTTTCAGACCCTACATATATAGCCTGTGATTGAGCAAAGTGTGCTTGCCTGATGTCTGTAAGCATAGACCTGTTCACTAAAGCAAGGCAGATCCTGGAATGCTTCTCACTGTAGAAGTGCAGAAGTGTTTGTTTTTTGTTGTTTGATTTATTTTTGAAGTCTGGAAAAGCATTAGCTGCCTCTACAGCTTTTAAAAGGGAGTCGTATGCCTAGGAGGATTGTGTGCAAACACAAGGAGTGGATAAACTAGAAAAACTGCTGTTGAACATGGTAGGCTTTTGAAAATCAGAATGGCTAAAATGTCATGGCACCTGAAAAGGGACTTCTGTAGGCCCTGTGAGTTGCATCAGAGGGAGAGGGAGCAGCACATGCCAGGCGGCACCAGTTCCTGGGTGAACTTTAGTCATGGTCACTTCAGCTCCCCAGTGACAGGCTTTTTCAGACCTGTTGACATTTGGGACCCACCAAGAGATAAGGCTTACAGATAATATCTGTCAAATCTCTTGAGAACAAAGGAATGAAATCAACAAAACAATGAAATCAACTTCTGGAAGCATATTGTGTTTCAGCCTCCGTACCTGACAGTGCTTTCAATAGCTGAATTCCAGATTTACCTGTGTCCACATGCCACAGTTTGTGGGGCTACTTTGGTTGGAGTGGCAGTGAAGTGGTGGCTGTCAAAGAGCTGCATTCCTTCACCACCACTTGTATTCCACTTAACAGTTTCTTGAGTAAGTTGGCATTTAAAAATGCCCAAATGCAGGTCTTGAGAATGAAAATTAAAAACATATATAATCTCTTTAAATTCCATATGGTCTCTGTATTGCTTGAGGGCTTAAATTCTACAGTGGATTTCTCAGACAGATCTCTTGGAGGGAGTTTTATTACTGACAGCAAAGATGGGTCAAGAGACAGTGAATGAGTTTGACACAGACACTGAATTTTCTGTAAGCATCCTGTGTCAGTAAGTCTCAATCCTTGTTAGCCTGATACCAAATGAGGGGCGCATGCTGGACAGTCCTGTACTCCCTTCTTCCCTTCGATCTTAATTCTGACTTGTTCAGCGTCTGCAGTTGTGAGGAAGAACTTGCTGGCCACATGCATCCTAATGTATCGAGCAGGCCATTTGGTCTGGGGCCAACTGGCATGTTGTGTCAATGGTCCGTTCAGTTAAATGCTTCCTTCCTTCCCCCTCCCAGAGTCAGAAGGTCTGTTGGGAATGGTCCCTAGTCTGCCTTAACCCCAGCAGACCCTGTCTTGTGGAGCCTGGTTGGCACCAGCCAGAGCTGTCTTAGTGTCACAGTGGTGGGGACCTTTGTGAAGTGCTCAGGTCTTTGACCAGGCCTTGCTTGGTCTTCACTGCCCGCAGCCTGTCTGGAGCCCTGGTGCTGACCACCCGGGCTGGGACCTGCCCAGTCCCCGCCTTGGCAGCAGCAGCCCGCTCCTAAGACAGGCCAAATCCCGGAGGCTGCCTCAGGCTCACCCTGGGGGTGGCAGCGGGGGCCTCCTGCAGCCCTCCCGTCAGGTGCCTGCCAAAAGCCCAGGCGGTGCTGGGCTCCCCAGTGCGTGGCACCACAAGAAGCAGGCCAGAGACCTATGGCACTGGAGAGTGCTCAGGAAAACAAGGCTCTTGGATCCAAATCAGTCTGTTTTTTTGGCTGGGGGCTGTTCTAATATGCTCCCGGTGTGCGTGCAGTTGGCATGTTTACTGGGGTGGGCCAGCAGTTGGCATGTTTACTGGGGTGGGCCAAGTCAGTGACGTTGTGCTCAATCCAGCCTAGCCACGTAGGAGACTGGGGCACGTTCTGGAGACTTGCTGCAATCTTGCACTAGGATCAGAGGAGAGCTGCAGAGGGAGGGAAGAGTGCTCCTCTGTCTTGGACAAGAATGACCAAGAAGCTACACAGTGGGCATGCCCCAACCCCTCTTTTAGGTGTTTTGGGGTGTTTTTCCTGTTTTGAACAGTAGCAGTGCAGAGATTTGTTTAATTATTGAGCTCCACTCAGTTAAGGAGCACCCTGGCTGTAGTAAGCAAATTAAAAGTGTGTGTATTCAGCAGTTTATCAAGTCAGTTTACACTTTTCCTTTCCCCCAGATTAGGTGACAGTGTATCAAAGAAAGTTGTCTGTAATTCCATCTTTAAATACTTGTTCATTTTGGGCCTTCTGCCGTCTCATCTTTCACTAACCTGGGGATTAAGTACCTACCTAAATGAGTTAGTACTTAGAAGCAATAATTAGGTTCTTTTGTGCTTGAAAATCTGCCTGCCTTGCTGATTAGAACATGCTTACACTTCAGAAATGAAAACAAGAGCCATAGTTCAGATGGTGGGAGCTGGGAGAGAGCCTGGATGATAGTGATGGATGTTCTGTAGCTGTTCCCAGTGAGCGAATGGTTTAGACTTAAAGGAGCTAGTTGTAGCCAAATATAGAAACTGATGAGATCACTACAGTAATGATAACTTTCATAATTATACATCATTAGTCTACAACTAGCTCATGATACTATAGCTAAGTATTTTCTTGTTCTTCAACAATTTACTTTTAACTGTGAGAAGTTCTATGTGAAGCCACTTTCTGGTGAGAGGCAGAGATCATTGGAGACCTTAGTGGTGTTATTACTCACTGGGAAGCATTGGCTTTCAAATGTGCTGTGTTTTCTGTGCTTGTGTCTGTTTGTGCAACAAGGCCACACTTACCTTTATGGCCAGTATCAATCCCTCAGGAATGCTGAAGTTTTGGTCCCCGGCTCTGTGTGCATTTCTTCTGTCCACCCATGTCTGGTACCTGGTTACAAATAGCTCACCTGTGCTGTGACTTGCACATCACAATATTAAAACTGAAGTTTTAGAAATCAAATTGACTTTTCACTTGGTTTGCAATTTAAACCTACTGGATTTAGTTTCCCATTCATGTTTGTAGTTTATTTTTTTTTTTTTAAATAGATAACTTTAATAGCATAGTCATAGGGGGTGATTATCGTGTTGTGCAGGATGTCATGTCAAGTTTTTCCCCCAAAAAGCTTGCACTTAAGTTGCAACATCAAAAGAAAAACTGGGAGTAAAATGCTTTTAATTCCTAGCTGGGGAAATGAGGGAAGAAAGGTTAGGTAACCTGTACAAGATTCTTGGATCTGTGAGGACCAGAGACAGTATTCAAAGTTGACATTTCTTGAAACTTCTTTCTTAGTGAGGTCATTTTTATACTTCAGTCCTGTAAATTTATGTAAGAAATGGAAAATCAGGGAAGA